GAACTGCAGTTAGAAACCATTCGTCATCCTCCGTATTCACCAGACCTTGCTCCAACGGACTACCATTTTTTTCGTGATTTGGACAATTATCTACGTGACAAGAAGTTTTCTTCCCAGGAGGCAGTACAAAATGCTTTCACACAGTTTGTGCAGTCTAGATCGTCGGAGTTCTATCGCAAAGGCATTAATAACCTTCCCATTAGATGGCAGCAATGTATAGATAATAATGGCAACTATTTTGATTAAATAAATTTGTTAAAAATTTAAAAAATAAACAATTTAGATTTTCAGTACAAATCGGCAATTTCATACTTTAACCCCTATTACATACCGTCAACAGAATATTCCATCACAAAAAACACGTTTCACTTTGCTACCAATATTAAGAGATGTCACAAGTGTGCTAAAAATGCAACTGATTTATAAATGCAAATCGAACTCCCAAATCACTTACCTTTGACACCCGATAAAGTAACGTAATGAGGTATGACCTAATTAGTTCTTGGAATTCGGTACCTTTGAAGGGTTGTTTACAAGTCGTTAACACTAATTTCTGGAAATTACGTCATGAATTTTGTCCCGCTAGCTTGTACTAGACGAAATACTGTGCGTGGGCCGAATTATTTTTTTATATTTTTATTTCTTAACTGCCTTAGTGGCCGAACGGTTACCATGCCGGACTGCCACGCAGAGGTCCCAGGTTCGATTCCCGGGCCGGGAGAAATATTTGTATGCCCTACATCTATTTCTCTCGTGAATTTGGGTGTAATTTGTGGTTGTCTGTGTGTGTCCATGGCACCCGCGACTCAGGGTTTCCCTAGTGCGGGGCTATGTTGAGTGTGTTCGTTATTATTATTATTATTATTATATACAAATGGATTTTATATGCTAAAGGAAACCAATTTAAAAAATCCGTTCTTATGTAGAAAAACTTATGATCGCTTATTTGGATTCCATAAATTGTGATTCTTTTAATAAAAAAAAGTATAGACGATGAAACTAGCATACATTAATTAATTAGTAATTATTTTACAAAAAAAGGAAAAAAAGGGGTCCGACAGTAGGGCGAAACTTACTGTTTTCGTGTAGTTTATTTTAACTGCAGTTCTTTATTGAAATGTAAGTGTGCATTTGCCCTCCATCTCACCTGATGGAAAATGACGATGAGGTCGACGATGGAGCATGCACACCCAAATAATGCCTATTCACACTCGCCTTGAAAAGGTCCAAATTATAACGTTCAGGGAACAAGTCTGTAGGCAGGGAACTCCACTCCATAGCCGTTCGCTATATAAATGTGGAAGCGTAATGCTTCCTTTTTTTTTTTTTTTTTTTTTTTCTTTGGAATATCCACAACATAGGGGCAGAAACGAAGCCTACGCCTTGTCCCCCAATGATGTAAAGGGGAAGGCGGAAATTAAATCGTGTAATTCCATCGCACACTCTCCGTGATATATCCTATAAAATATCGATAAGTTGGCAACTTTATGGTGGTGTTCAAGACTATGCAGATTCGCCTCTACTAATTCCGAGTCACCTATAAGCCTCTTGACACGCTTGTCAATTGAAACCAAGGTGGCCAGTTGGTATGTAGCAGAGCCATCCTAAAGGTGACAGCAGTACTCCATACACGACCGGACTTGTGCTTGATACAGCTGAAGCAGCTGTCCCGGTGTGAAGTAACGCCTCACCCTGGAAAGGATGCCAAGCTTCCTGGCTGCTTTTTTGGCCATAGATTCAATGTATCTGACGAAGTTCAGATTTAACAAAAGAGTGTGACATAGAAATTCACCTTCTCTTCTGCATTATGGGCCAGCGTGCCATCCGGTCTCAGCAGAGGAGGCAAAGATGGGTGACAAAAGTTACTTTGAACCGCTTTGGCCAGGGACCAAAGGGATTTACTACCTGCTAGTTATAAGGGGCAAGCTTGGCCCCTACGCGGTGCACATGTTTGAACTTGGCCCTACGTAACACGCTTTTGCGGCTATATTAAACTCACAACACTTCTTGGCGCCTATATTAAAAGCTTTCATCAGATTCCGAGTACTCGGAGCTTTGCGCAGTCGAGCATTTGCCCATGGTACGCGGAGTGCTTTTGTGCTTCAGAACGATTGCAGTGAACGTTAAATCATTGACGGATTGGGTACATCGGAGTAATACTACATATCCAAACGCAAGACCTCGACTACAGCATCAGCACAGCTCGACGAGTCTCCTGAAGTAAAGCAAGCCTGCCAAGGATATGACGCAAAGAAATGGCGCATTTCACCCAATCTGCTAACCTGTGTCGCCACACCCGTCTCATACCACTAAGGCCCTGATCGGGTGGAGAGTATACGGATACGGTTTTCACCAGACAATGGTCGAAAGTACCCAGGCATCCACAACCACAGAGTATCGATCCGGATCAGTTGTCAGCAGAAGGTCCAAGCAATTAGCCAATAAGAGATTCAACATCTGGTATCCTATTGGCGCCACTGACAAGCTGAGATAGGCTTAGTTAGTTAACCAAACCTTACACGTCTCTCTCCCAGCGTGATCGGTCATCTGGTATGGGAGCAACCATTCTTGATGGTGTGCATTAATGTCCCCCGGAATAACTAATTGCGCTACTATGCAGAATCTGATCAGACGTCTCACTCAGATATTGGAACAGCTTGGTTGTCTCCTGATCTCCACTGTGCGATCGGTAAACACAGCAGTACACTATTTGTGTATTTCCTGTATCTACCAGATGCCACAAAACAGAAAACTCGGTACCTCAAGGTTCTTGAGACGCTTGACACAGATGTCATCACGAACGTACACACAGACTCCGGCACAAGGTAGAAACCTGTGCTCCAGAGTATACCTGGGGTATCTGAGGTACGCCGTGTCAGTCGGACAACTGATCTACGTCTCGGTGAGGAACAGCAGCTGCTGTTTATCGCTTTCAAGATGATTGAAATAAATAAAGGACTAATCTATCTTATTCTAGTATTTTTCTACTATATAAATAGTAATATTGTACTACTTGTAATCAACAAATACTTGAACATAATTATTCTATTTAGAATCGATTAATTGAATGGAATACACGTGTTTACGCGTATTCCGTTCAAGCAATCGATCGAAAAACACTTAGTTGGCGCTTCTACGCTTCAGAACAAGGACGAAGGTAGTCTAGTTTATCCCACCAAAGATGCTATCCAAATATGCAGAGTAGCAGAGTTAGAAATCCGAGAAATCATGATCAAATCACAAAAATTTTACACGAGGCCGACATTAATTAAACCTTAAGTTACTTTAGTAAGATTTTAGACATTTTGTCAGCAGTAACATTTTCAGATGTCTTGCCATGCACCAATTTGATCAATCACCGACGGAAAACCATCTAGTAAATTTAATTAAGGCAGTTGCAAATTCATATATTGACGTGGGTTTTCATTATTTAAGTCAATCGATAAGATCTTCTATTACGAAAAGACAGTTATATAATAAGCTTATATTATTTCAAGGACAATAATTTTAATATTTGAAGTTGATTAAAAATTAAAGTTGAAATTATTAAGTAATCAACGTTTTTTAACAATAATTTTTAATAAAGGACATAATTATGTTGTTTTGGTATTTTTCTGTATTAATATTTCTACTGTATTAATATTTCACGACTACTTGTAATCAACGAATACTTGAATCGATTAATTGAATAGAATACATGTATTCTGTTCAGTCAGTCGATTTCGCGCGGACGGAGTTTTCCCATCACTAAATAGTTCTTGTGACGTCATGGTGGATACATAAAATGTGACACACTCGGTTTTTCATACAAATTGCTGTACTTGCGGCGTCTATCTAGATATATGTCCGTGCTTTCACGGGTGACTTTCCCGCTACTTGGGCCCTCAACTTTCCACGGTCGACCAGCGGTGCAGAGTGCTTCGGATCCCGCTAGCCTCCAGAACCGAGTGCTCAGTGTGGCAGTACAAGCAGCTACAACTCGTCAAGCTGTTTCTTTTTTATTTGCCTGTCTGTACCTCTGTTCCTTTCTACTTTTCAAATTTTCTTAACTTTTTAATATACATAGAAGTAGATTTTTTTATATACTTAATTATATTGTTACAATGTTAGACATTGACAAATGCTTTAACAGGTTTCGACTACAACGACAACTTCGATAAGATATTAAGACTACAATGTACGTTTTGTTTTGTCTTAATATGACAAAATGTCCAATTTTAAATTTATTTTATTTACGAATTGTGTATTCAAAACTCTAATAAAATTGTGCAAACATGCAAATATAACCTTCATACTCTAACATCTAAGTCATTAAATACCTAATAACGTATTTTTTAACTAATAACAATGTTTTGTTAAAGAAGTTATATGATTATGAACAAAATAAAGAAGTTATATTATTATGATCTCATCTCGCAAGTAGCAAAAATAGCACCACGTACTCCGATCGCTTATAACCATTTCAGCCTACCTCTCAAAAGGTCAATAGATTAATGGACAATTAATAGAAGGCTTCTGAGCGCAGTAGCCCTCACTACAATTTAAAACAATCTTCTTATTTCGATCTCTTTCACCGCGCTGTATTGGCAAAGGCAATAAAATTCCATAAAGAATAAAATTAATTTCTTAGAATAAAAAGCTATTCATGTTTTCGCAGCAGGAAGCCGATGAGATTTTTCTGTTGATTTTTTTTTATAATACCAAGTAACGGGACGATCAAGTCGTGCGCCTGATGATAAGCTGTCCAGAACTGTTACATTGTCACTCAGAGCATTAAATCGCAAAAATTTGAGCACTGCCACTGCGCCCGTCACCCTGCGACATAAGTTGACAAGTCCCATGTGCCTGTAATTTCAGTAGCACCCTTATTACCCTTCAAAACCGGAACACAGTGAAACGTTGGCATTGACATGGCTGCTTGGAAATTGGTAAGGTGGCAGTACTTACCTGGACGAACTCGTTCGCAAGGAGCTCTACTGCTACTATAAAATGTATTTCAGACGTGAACGTGAAGAGATAGAGCGGCAGCGCGCAGCAGCGGCGTATCAAAAGTTGCACGCAGAAGGCAAAACCGAGCAGGCACGTGCCGACTTAGCGCGACTCGCCGTCATCCGCCAACAACGGGAAGAGGCCGCTAAGAAACGCGAGGCAGAAAAAAAATCTAAAGAGGAAGGTACTACAACAAAGAAAAGGTATCATAATACAAAATGTATTTATAAGTAAAAAAAAAAATAGAAAGGCCTTAGCTAAAGTAGGACTTCCTGTCACTAAAGCGAATTTGTTACTGCAGTATCATGAATTGAAAATTTATTCAGTTTTACGTATAGAAGATCACCGCTGCCAGTAGTTTAATCTACAGTGCCATATAGCATCTGTAGGAGCTACGTGCATGTTGATCCCTGATTGTAATGTTATGACCAGTAAATATAATTACACTTTTATTTTCTCTATCAAGCCGTTCTAGATGCAAATGCATGTAACAAATGTTTGTTTTCTTTGTCCACAGGTAGATGAATGGTCCGACGACGATAGACTCCAAATACGTTCACCGTTCTCTATTTAATGTACTCAAAAACCGTCTAGGCAGCTTTCCAAAATCAAAAAGGAAAAATAATCGGGTCTTGATTTTTGAGAATATTTATTCCTGAGCGATATTTTTTTAATTTTCACTGATCGAAGCAAGAATATGTCCATATCAAGAAACCGGACCAGTCGGTGACGCCTGATTCGATAGCCTCTGACATTTGATTTGGCATTTTATTGCATGGACTATTGAAATTTAATTTAATAAAATGCTCTTAACGATCAACAAATACGACCACCATTGCCAATGGATAGTTACTTGTTCAAAGTCTTCTTTCCCATTGACTTTAAAAATCAAGGCTTGAATTTCATCCATTTATCACCAAATGCGTAATAACAAATGCTGCCCAATTTGCCATCAAATATTTAAGTATCGGCGTTGACGTTATTACTTTATAAAATTTTCAACGAAAAGTCATCTAAAACCCACAACTTGATATATCCTGTTCATCTTTTGTGCGTAAACGTTCTAAGCACACATAACTAAACCTAATTTGTTTTCTGATGGGAAAAATAACGTAATAAACTGCCTATGCAACATTTTTTTAAATTAAAAAAAATATACACAATTAAAATTTTAATTTTTTTAAATCCTCTTTTAAGATATTAAAAAATTGCATCCATCTCTAATACTCTGCAAGTAATAATATGATACATAAAAATATATAAGCATGTGCGAGTGTTGATCCAGGGATATAGATTTTATTGTATATTTACTTAGACAATTTAAATATACTTCGTTTCATTCCATTTTAAACAAAAAGTAAACGAAGAAGTCACTGATCTGACCATAGACGGTTTAGTGATGGTCAATTGTAATTCAAACTAAAAATCGATTAATTTAATTGTGTATCGATTTGTTTAATTGAGACATACTAGCAGTTTTCCTTACATGAATAGCAAAAATACATAACCTATAAAAACGTATTTGAAATTTCCGAAATCTTAATTTTAAATCCTCCTTCAAATCTTTACACTTAGATACTCATTCGATTGCGATTGAACTTTTCGATTTACCAATCTATTACAAAAACTTTAATTGAATGAATGGAATGTTTTTTTCGTACAGCGCTATGCAACCACATACAAGTCATTGAAGTATAGATGAAAAATTATCTCACTTTAGAACTACCATTTTTCAAATACGATTTTACGATGCTATTCAAATGAATATTCTTCGAAAAAGTGATGACATATCAAGTCGAAAAGTTCGAAATATACGTGACAGTGTTATTTATTCGATTTATTGAGTGATTGCTTTTTTTTTTATACCTCTTGGTTGTACTGTATTTACCTAATGATAGCCAGTGTGTGGAGGAACATTTCACCCCAAAATACAAGCTTTTGCTTAGTTTGGGATTCGGTAGTTAAAACATTTTATATAAGTAGCACATACATACAATCAGTGAAATAAGTTTTTTTTTATGTAACATACCCATTGTTTTTAATTTCGCTGTGTATATGAATAAAATAAATATTATTATTATTGCTTTAGAATTTTAACCAAACAGGTTTGTTTACTTTTTGTTGAAAATGGATTGGAACAGACTATACAATGATTATGCGGGGTGTCTCCAAATATGTCTAAACGTTGGAATTGAAAGCATATAATCAATTTTTGAGACTTTGAACTATATAAAAATTAATGTTGTGTAGAGATATATTGTTCTAATGTACCTATTTTAAAATAATTATTTTCTATGGTTGACAAATTATTTAATTGTTATTCTCAAGGTTTTGCACTTATGTATTATACAATTTTGAAATATCTATCTGTTAATTTATTTAGCATCATTTAGATTTTAACGATTACTGGTATAATGTGTTGCAATATTTATTGATAGGTATATTGATTATAAATATGTCCAAACCACCACAATAAACAAAAAAAATATGTATGAATTTGCTTAGGTTTAATTACCTAGATAGTTTCACTAGACAATTTTTATATGCGAATATGTATCTATATAATAAAAATTGAAAATGCTGTCAATCTTTTTGTTTTATTTTATCCTATATCCTATAACTCATTGAAAATTAACATATAGAACGCGCGACACCCACCTCGGATTTATCAACTTGGTAAAGTAAAGAAAAAGGGTAGCCAATGTGTCTTGTTTCCTCCGTTAGCGACGGACATCGCACTTGGGTTCATTTCATTTCGTTCGCATGACGACTCGTGAAGACACGCAAAACGGCTCGACTTTAGCCAAACGGCGACGCGCGATTCCATATTCGCATAACGAAAATTTGTACCTAATAGTGGGAAAATGGAGATGAATATGCTATAGGCGAAAAACATGACGCTTCGTCTCTGCGCCGATGTGAATTGAGCCTTTGTGTCCATACGCATTAGACGGCCAGGTCTAGCTATTGTTCTTAATTTTATAAATCGTCGCACCCATTTAACGTCCGTTAAATGTGTGCGGATTTTTAAATGAACTATAGCTAGACCTCAGTTGCAGTGGTCGCGGCCTGGCCGCCGCACAGTGGGCACAAATTGATAATTCTTGGACATAGGAATAACTTGTGGAGTATCGAGCTAATTTTTATATGATAGATAATAAGATTTCTAACATTTTTTATTCTTGTATAATTTCTGTTAAAGGTGATAGTTTCGGAGAAAAAAAAATATTATTTTTCTTTAGTCGAAGCTCATGTATTTTGTTAAAAAAGTACATAAAAGAGTTAGCAATTTTGCCGCACCTTTACTTACAAAGCCGCAAGTACATGCCGACGGATTATTTTTTTCTACATAGAAAATGATTGGAACTGTACTGTTAGTAGTAACTCACGTACATTACATTTTCGTATATTTTGAGATAAAAAATAAAATGTATATTTCTCCATACAAAAAAAATATTATTTTTTTCTCCGACACTATCAACTTTAACAGAAATTATACAAGAATAAAAGTTGTGAGAAATGTTATTCTCTCATATAAAAAAAATTTGCTCGATACTCCACAAGTTATTCCTATGTCCAAAAATTACCACCCACTGTGCTCACTGTGCGCCGCGATCTGACCGTCTAATGCGTATGTACCCTTAAAATAATTCTTACTTGGTTTATCTACGTAAATGTCTAAACGCTCAGCATTATATATTTAACTTTTAAGTGCAGTATTTTATTTCTACTATGATACTCATCTACTTTTTTGTGTACTAGTTTGTTATATACTTCACCAGTTTGTCATTGATAATCCTTAAAAAAACCCTTCAATACGAACCAGCGTCTGTAGCATTAACGTGGCTACCACTCTGCCAACTGAGCTAACAGATTTTACGAATTTCTCGGCTTTTGTTACGGATGTGTGAATTGGGTTTAAACGGCTTTTCTGTCGTAGGTTAGCTGTATTTGTTCAATCTTTGTATCAATAATAACTTTTAAGTGTTACTCTTGGAAGAAGTTTAATGCAGCTCTCCGTTTTGACTAAATCCTATAGTTGCATGTTAAATCTGCCTTTCATTGAATGCTGCTGGCATGTGCTGTCAATAATGTAGCGCCCATTATCTACCAAAGCGAAGCAATCTAAAATAACGCGCCGACAGCACATTCGCGATACGATCAAAAATAATCATCGGTGACAGCACCACTATGACGGCTGATCTGTTGCCCACGCGGCCTCTTTTTGTGAATAATCTCACGGTGATTTTCTAGTTGATGTCAGGGTTTTCCAATACGTTACAAATCACTAAAAAACAAGACCTAAATAGCACGCCACCTGCAGCAACTAAAAACATACACAGAAATAAAATGTTTCTCGTTAAATTTCTGCGAACTCGGATAATAAACAGATTTGTCTAAATTTGTGCACATCTATCGCCCGAAAGCAACTTTGACCATTTGATTTATTGCCCGGTTGAAATGCGAAACTTCGCACATAAATCTGGGTGTAACTTGCTGTCAACAGTGCACAGTAAGTTTTATAACTTCACATTTAAACTCCGAAATGTTTTATTAAATCGATAGATTAAACCATTCCTAAGTACCTACCTAAATAGGAGCAACAATACAATTCTGCCCTGGGAACGAAAAAAGGCACAACTGCTGTATAAAGTACGCATAGTTGTGCCTTGTTTCGTTACGAGGGCAGAATTGATGATATAACTAATAAATATTACAAATGTAATCTTTTTTTCCTATATAACATTGAATAATTGAAAAATTTTGATTTTAACAAAAAATGGGAATTGTCCAATTCAGCCCCATCTGTGGGGTACTTTGATAACACCGCTTAGGGCATTTTGATGTGAGAATCAAAGTGCCATTCCTGGTTACCAGCACTAGAATAATCAACTGTTAATAAAATATGATATATGCCTCAGCACTTGCTAGACCAAGACTTCTTTCGAGGACACCATTTGAAAACTGTTCTTTGTAATGTAGTCTTGGAAGTAGAAATACAGGAGCAAGAGCTGACTTTAGCGCGAAATGTATCTAGTTCACCTCTTTCTACCTACATATCTGATATGAATTTGTGTTTGTCAATACCCTTTCATAATTGTCAAAGAAGAACTTTGTAACGGCAGTTTTGTTAAATGCAAAACTTCGTACTGTACAAAGGTCTTCTTCTGCTCAGCAGTGAATACTTGCACAACTGTGTACTTTGAAGTGTGCAAATGTCATTAATTTTAAATCACAGATTTAAACCTTTCAATGCGATACTGTTAATTAGAAACATTATGTACCTATACTATATTTATTTTCGTATTTATTTGCTGCTTGTCGTAAAGATAGAGGGTTCGCAGCAACTACAGACATTGCCGATTTGATTTCATTAATGACTTCATAATTAGTTTGGTTTTTGTACTCCACCGACCAGTTTAGAAAAAAAACATTTATTTAAAAAAAATTATATATTTGCCCCAAAGTCACATGCAATTCTAGTTATTGAAAATACTAATTTACACTGTATTAAGACATCGATCCCGTACAGTGAACAAAACTGCAGTGGCACTGGTAATTCTGTCGCTTATTTTTTTAGTCAAAGGCCGTGAAAACACTTTGTGACCTGTAGAACGACAACGGTTAACTGGTGAACTGCATCATCACATGTCTGCTCGTATTACTCACAGATACAAAGGCACGTATCAGTGTTATCACAACTAACACTATGTCTGAAGGTATGAAGATAATGCATGTATGAATGTGCACCCTATATCAAACTGCCCCGCTTCCCCCTTACAGGTGAAATCTACATACATCCAAATATACCTATGAGTGGAAACCGACACTGCGTCGCATTTGCGCGTGTTAAATATTACTTTAGGTATTAAGTCCGTCCCACATTTTGCAATGTTTTGACCTTGACTAAATAAGGATGCTATGTTATCTTTGATTCCAATGGGATTTGAATTTTATTATGATACCAAGACACGGGACGAACAAGTCGTGCGCCCGATGGTAAGCTACGCGCCTATTCATTTCAGTTGCAGTGCCACTCGGGGCTTTAAATCGCAACATGACGCAAAATGACGGATACTGCTACCTTGTCACCCTGAGATATAATTTGACAAGTCTCATGTACTTGTAATTTCACCAACACCCTTCAAAACTGGGACGAAAGATTGATTGTTACATCGGCTATGACGATAATGACACACCTATACGTGCTTTTAATTTTATTTTATGATACGAGTTTTCAAGTAAAAATATTTTTTCACTCTCAGTTTAATATAAACAACCCAACGGTGTAGGTACATATGCGGTATTCACTTACATATGTAGTACATACTTGAGAGCACGATACCGAAGGTTCATATTTCACGCGTCATTATCCCCCGAACAGTTAAGTAATATACCTACCCGTTCTAACCTACATTTTCGAAATGTCTTCCTCTAAAATTTAGATCAGGGGTTCCCAAACTTGTTTAGTCTACTGCCCACTTTGAGAATAAATTATGTTTTAGCGCCCCCATTTTTTCACCTACTTAAAAACCACTATAACTTCAAAAAAATTAAATTAATTATTGTGAGCTATATTAGCGGAGATTAAACATTCATTCTAAACGAGACTTTTACTATAACTCGCAAGAGTTAACTTGAGACCTAAGCGCAGTAGGTAGTACACAACGGCGCTCAGGTCTCAAGTTAACTCTTACGGGCTACACCTGCCAATGAGAATGATTATTTAAACGCAACTGTATAGTATTCAGACAGAGTATATTTTATTCAAAATAAAACAAACATAATCGATTCTAATATAAAAACTAAAGTGAAGGATGAATCTGATGCTGTTTAATAAGTTTGTTGATATCAGGTACCAATTGACTCAAAAACAGCCACAAGTCACCACGTCCGGTAACATGCAAACGATTTCTCTTTTTAGTAAGCAGCGTTGTCACAGCACTAAAACTAAGTTCACACAAATATGACGATGGGAATGCTATCAAGAATCGTTGAACGATTGACCACAATCCAGGGTACAAATGGAGTATCGGTTTTTGGAGCCAAAATTAGTAATGTGTGGTAATTTTTTAACTTCATTTTTATTTCCTTGTTCGTTGTCAATTCTATAAGTTCTTCTTCCAGCTGAGGTAATATTGCTGTGTTGATATTTGAAAACGGATCCAACACCCAGTCTGGTATTTCCAAGTTCAAAATGTCTTGGTATCGTTCGGTGAAGGAAATGTGGAGGTTTTCCAAATGTTGGTAGTGGGCAAACAAGTCGTCGTTACTGTAGGATACTGATAAATTCGGAAAATTGTGAAACTCACGTCTGCCCACATTCTTTTTGTGTAGAAGCAGTATGGCTGCGAAAGCAGCAACGACATTTTTGTTTAATTAAATTTAGTTCATCGCCTTGCAGTTGGAGATTCATGTCGTTGAACAATTTATACAGGTCTGTCATGTAAGCTATATCATTCTTTGATGTAATGAGCTTGTTGCGCAATT